AATATTTATGTATATTTCATAACCAGTGATTTCTTTGCGAAAGCTTCATATACTACATATCCCAACAGGCCTTTCTGTGTGTCCAGTTTGTGTACCAGTCATTTAAAGCTTTCACTTTAGCTCAGCAATGGCTGATTTCATAAATTCACTGGAATTATCAGTACGCATCCTCTATCATCTTAATGTAGATAATCAGTTATCCAAGATCTGAGGAAGTTTCTTCCTCAAATGGATCACTTCTTGTCTCCTTTGGTGCAATCTATATTGCAATCCTACAAAGTTTAATTGAGGATAGATTTGGAAAAGTAGTCATCTTCATTGTCTATTTGATGGTACATCTACAATTTTTTTTTCTGGCTGATGTGCACTTTCCTTGACATACTTAAAGCCCAGGTAAGGTTGTTCCAAATCAGGTGCAGATTGGCATGTTAACATCTGAGCATTATTCATTGCCTTTATGTGCCATCCATGTTCATTTCCCCCGATTCCCACTGGTCACATACGGTCAGAAATAGTGGAAGGATGTATTCTGGTTGGTCTGTACTCCTGGAATCTGTAATACAAGAAGGCTGCATCATTGTAAATTTGTTATTTTATCAGTCTTTCCTCATTGACAAATAGTTTGTAGAAGACGTTATTTTTTTTTAAATACATGTAATGTTGGCCTTTTCAATACACAAATAAAATCACTTTGTGATAAACTCCTTCCTAACCCCTTCTGCTTCTGCAAAACTCAAAGATATTCTATGGTATTCTATATATTTCAACTTCTTCCAGCTTATTCCCACTAAGGCTGTTTGTGTATTTATAAAATACAAATTACATTGAATGTTACTTTTATATGTGATTCCCCGAAGCATTTTGTCAGTGTAGGGAGGTATGACCCTCCCTCAGACAGAAAAACAAAGAAAGAAGAAAAGAACTTTCATTGGTTGTTGTGGTATAGTATTATTAATACATCTTCAGGTATGCAAAGCAAGACAAGACAAAACAGCTCTTACAAAATATTCTGTTTTTCCAAATGATGTGCAATATATGGTTAATGGTAGGAGAGGGAGAGCTGTCTATTGTTACTTTAACTTGCATTCTTATTCTAAGGCACTGTATGGAAACCTAATGTCATCTGGATATCATAGCAGTCCTTACCATATAATCACATGGGACCAACATTACATGATCAAAGTAAAAGAAAAAGCTCTTATTTTATTTATAAGCCATCTGCCACAAACCATTATCATTTACTTAGGCCCTAAGGTACAGTTTCCATTTTAATAGTTCTATTAGTGTTTGGGTGGTTTCTATGAAGATCATTCAATAAACATTGTCCAGAAAAAGCTAGATACTTTTAGTGTATAATCCTCTGGAATGTTTATTAAACAATAACACTGAACCTTCTGACAGTTTTATTTCCGAGAATGTTATAGCGTTATTAAGCATCCCACCGGTAATTCTGCATTACTAAAAACTCCTGTGCAACGTAATGAGTCTTACCGAAAGTAGATGCAGCTGAATTAATAACAGGGAGATCAATGCACTATCAGAAAGTCATACAGTAGAAAGGGTGGGATGGGGGGAAAAGAATACAGAAAAGAATTCTGTTTCACATTTGCAACAAAAAGTAACTGAAATAAGAAGAAACAGTAATATAAGGATTTGAGAATCCAAAAGCAAAAAGTAGATTCACCTGAAAAGAGTATTTCATCATGCATTATATATTTACTGTTTAATGCAGAGTCTCTGGACAAATTGAATTTAACTTAATTATAAGATGAATGGGTTCTAAAAAATAACTTAAAACCCTAAATGTTCTTGAATTTACTTCTGTGAATAGGTTTCTGCGTGTCACATTTTCTGTGAGGCCACCCTGCAAAGATCCTTTTATCACCTGTTAAATAGATGTTATTCCTCTTAACTAACCACGAAGAAAGCTCAGTCTAAGGTTCAGTACACTTAATACAAAGCCTCCAAAGAAAGGGAGGCTTCAGATAAAACTCAGTGTTTGGCTGTAATGAACACGGTAAATGTTGGTTTCCTGCAACAAAAATAATAGGTGAAATCTTGGCCTATTGAAGTCAATGGGAATTTTGCCATTGATTTTAGCAGGGCCAGTATTGCAACCAATAAATCTACTAAGCCAACTAAAAGAAGTGGGTGAAGGAAGGAAGAGGAATTAATGTAACAGAACCTATACATTATTTCAGTCATTGTTCTACCCTCCTTTGCCTGAGTGAATAGCTCCTGATACTCCTGAGATGTGCTCACAGAAACTATTGTGGCAGTGTACCAAACACCAAATATTTACAAAAGCATTTAATAAGTAATTCCGAAACAGGAAAATCAGCTTTGTTGTTATAATGAGTCAGTCTCAGATTCAACCAGAGGTTGTTTTAGGGGTGAGTAACCAAGGGCAATTGCCCAAGACTGGATACCATGGGGAGTGTGTTAGACTACAATAATTAAAAGTACAAGTTATCCAATATGCCTCAATCTATGTCTGTGTTCTTGCTAGTCAAAACTTGCTGTAGCTCCACACAGATGCAGTTAGATCTTTCAAACACAATCCTTTCTGTAATGTGAGTAAAATAACAGGCAAAAAATTTAGTTAGAAATATAAATGTCTTTTTGTCTTTTAATATTTATATCCCTATTTATGTTTCTTTTTATTGATGCGTGAAAATATCTAATTTCTGATTTCTGATGTGTAATAAGTGTAGTCACCATATTTTTGCATGGGTTTTCCCAGACATCCATTACACACATGCACCACATGGCCCATGTACAGCAAGGCAATTTCAGAAAGCTGCGGACTAACAAATCAAGCACTGTACAGCCACACCACAGACATGCTATGGTCCTATATGGGAACAAAAAACATTGGATGTGAGGAAATGTATGTATCGGTACCCCATCATGGGTTGTACCATTGTATTTGAGAGCCCTGTGTTTCTTTAGGAGATAAAAGCTGTGGGAGAAATTCTTGTTCAGGTGTTCCAGTATCAGGACCAGAATATGGAGAAGCACAACCATCCAGTTTGTGGGGCTCTTTCATAGGGTTTATTTGCAACCAAGGGATAGTGTGGAAAAAAAAATAAATTACTGGTTAGAAAACAACAGAAGCAAAGGGTGGCTAAAAATACATTATCTGATGTGAAAGAGATATACAGGCAAAATACTTTTGAACATAAAAGCATTGGTGTAGAAATGTGATGGATCTGCAAAATCTGCCTTGAACTAGCTTAATATCTGTAACCTTTATCTCACAGTAATAAACTAAAACAGAGTAAACTTACACTGGGAGTGGAAAATGGTGACATCCACTGCAGACATTGTTTTGCAATGCACAGTTTTCCTTGGCTGTTAAATCTCATTTTAATACTTATCAGAGTATTCAACAATAAATTTTCCCCACCACTTACAACACTGCAGTTTTCCAGCCCAGAGAGGTTACCTAGCAATTCAAGCAAATGTTTTTGTTGTCTGAAACTGTAGGACATTCACTTCGGTTTTGACCATCATGGGTATTAAGTGCTTCCCCAAAACGGAGTAAACAAACAAACAAACCAACCACCACCAACTGTCTTATGCAGAAAATATTTTACATTGTGGCAGTGTTCTTTCTCTGTAAAAATGTTTTTAAAACTAGTAGGAGGTGCACATAAATGATCAAATTTGTAATAAATCTTTTGTGAGCTCAGCTGTTGTGGTTCATCAGAACATCTAACAGTAGTTACCCCTAAGCACAGGAATGCTTATAGATAAGATGAAAGCAGCCCTTCTTATTAATCACACTGTATATCTGACTCCTGCTCCTTTCTTCAATCTTTAAATCAACTCCATCTGGTTCTTACTATTTAGTTGTGCGGCTTACCTTTCACAATGAAACATGCTTACTGCTGCAGAAGCAGGTCTAATGTGATTAAAATTATTAGGTAAAACAGTGGTTGCTTAAGTCTGGAATCAGCTCACCATAAAAAACATGATCAGCCACAAAATGAAACTGAAGACCAAATCTTCATTGGGTGTAAATTGGCTGGACTCCAGTTGATTTCAGTGAAAGGTATTGAAAACAATGTTCTGGTCCACCTTTCTTTATGTTAATACTTTACGCAGCACATCAAGCAAGATGCCAGAACAACGCTTGTATGAGAAAGAAATAATCTCATCATATTGCAGACTAGTCCTGCGTTTATGGTGTGCTGTGGCAGGGCGAGGACCTAGGTAGGTAGAAGGGAATAAGCCTGCCTGTGTTAACTAAAACAAACCAAAACAAAAAGTGACCCCCTCTCTGGGGTGCCCAGTTTATTTAGAGGGTCCTAATTCAGATTCCGTTCAACAGACTGTAAATGCAAACCAGACAATATCAAGACAACAAAAGCAGAGGAGCAAAACAGCTTTCTCTGTTTTCTGGTCAACAACTTCCTTCTTTTATTGCCATGACAGTGTCTCCATTCCTTTGCAATTTTTTTGTCGCAGCTAAACTAAGCTGCATTCATTGCTGATTTTGTGAAACTTTTTGTGGGGATCTAACCCAGTAAAAAATCATATTGCTGAATGACTGTGTGATAGGAACAATCCAGGGGAGGTAGGATGGTAGGATCTCTTCCAGGTAGGACTCACATGTAAGTTACGATGTACAAGTAGGACTTGGCATTTCCCTGTGGTGAGCTTTGTTCTTTTAGGGGTTCATTTTGGAGCTGCCATGACATGTCTACCACAAACGCTCACTGCAACCTTGACACAGATGGAGGCAGGTAGGGCCTGCTCCAGCTCATGCCAGCAGGCTGTGATACTTGGAAACACATTGGGACTCTCTGACTGGAAGGGGCTACCCAGATAGTCAGGTCCCTACCCCAACAGTCACAGGGTCAGCTGAGACTTGGGCTCCCCCTGAAAACGTTGAAATTTCCCCTTTTGGCAAGAATGCCAGCTATGAACCCTTATGTCATCAGAATGCCTAAACAGGTAAAAATACCACAGTTACAACCTTTTCTCTTTTACAGCTTGAGAACTACATTGTGGAAAACATGAAATCGGAGATGGTGCAGCTGCAGCAGAATGCTGTGCAGAACCACACCGCCACCATGCTCGAGATAGGGACCAGCCTCCTCAGTCAGACAGCAGAGCAGACAAGAAAACTCACGGATGTTGAAACCCAGGTATGTTCCCAGAGCGTTTTTCTAAAAGTTGTTAATTGCAGAGAACTTTTCCCATCCTTTTTCTTTTCTAATGCATCACCACACAAAACATTTCAACACAGGGCTCCAAGGAACATACACACTCTGTTTCTCGGTACCAACAGCGGTGATGACTGACCCTTGTTATGTGTCTTTCTTTTGATTTCATTCGGTTAGTATATTTAGCTCTGTGTGTGTAAGGCAGGCAGGACCGTCCAGGAAACTAAATCAGCATTTGACTTCAAATAAACAGCCCAGCTACCAACTGTGAATGATACAAGTGTCAAACTAAATAACGAGTTTTAGGGTAAAACAGGTCTCCATTGTTGTTTGCTGCTTTACTATTACAAGAAAGTTTGTTTATTTTCTGCAAGATGTTTCCAGCTTTTTGAAAAGTAGTGTATGTCTGCAGCTTTTAAACGGTGAAGAGAGAGGGAAAAGCATCAGCTTCTTTATAAAATACTGTGGTTTTGTTATTACTGTAAAATTGTATAACATCACATGAATTTAAAGAGCCATCTCCATATGATTTCTAGCACTAAAATCACAGTTGTGACTGAAGTGACAAGAGTATCACTGTCATAACACAGAGTACAATTTCATACTGGGCTTATTGCAAAGATACGTACTACTTTTTGCCTTTTGAATTCTTTTATCAGTTTAAGAGGCATATTTATTTTTCTTATTTTTGCTGACTTCCTCTTGATCTTCATAGCATGTGGTATATTACCAGCTGCACTGCATTTGCTGCTGTTCATTTAGAAGAGGGGAATTAAAGTATTACATCTATATGGTTTGTTCTAGTAGCATATGTACTTCCTGAAAGATCATATTTTCTGTTCTATTGTCCTTACATTTACAATATCATTACCAAGTTTTTACATAATCGCATTACAGTACACTGAGAAACAACAGTAATTATGAAAGACAGATACACTGTCTTACACAAGTTCCCTGCATATTTTTTTCTACATCTTGGTTAACAGATCAACATTCACTTATAAATGTTGTGATCTCAAATGACCAGAGTTTCTAAAACATAGTATATTGACTTATGAAAATGTTGGGGAAAATCTTTAGTTCAGTATCAACAGAATATCTAAATGGAAACATAAGAGGTGAAGACCTATGGATTATAGTATCATATACATTCAGTAAAGAAAAAGGAGGTTTAGGAACTCTTCTTATATTCCAAAAGACCTACTTAGGTGTAAGTGTTGAGTACTCATTCATGTTTTACTCCTTTAAGCAGGTAAGGGAGAAAATGTGCATTGCTTCTGTCTCACTTTTCCTTTGAGGAACCACTTCAGGGTAGAGGTATCACTGGCAACTGCATGAAGGAGCGGATGACTTCCTCCTTCTATACCTATTGCTGAAGAATTTAAGGGATGTTCAAGATACCAGTGGGAGTGGCTCTTCCTTGTTGCAGTACTTGCTCTGACTTTCAGCTCAGTGGTGGCATTTCCCACCTCCCCTCTTTCAGCAGTATGAGAAAGTCCCTGGCTCTACCATCAATCAGAAAAGAGTGGTGCAGGTGGTTCAAGAAAGTGAAAAGAGACTGCTCTTGGCAGTGATGGAGGTAGCCAGCTGCATGGCAGAGAGGTGAAGGTCTGTAGGATAGAAGGAGAAGAAAGGCAAGCCAGGATCTCATGCCTGTAATAAAGAAGTACTCATACCAGAGTAAGGAGGAGTCTGCAGGACTGAAGATAGAGCCTTCACCTCATTAAAATCTCACTGGCCCCTCCCAATCCCTGATCCATCCAAAATCCCACTGATTCTCTTTAGGCTTTCTTCTCTACCTGAAGCTCTACTGATGTTTTGTAGGCTGCTCCATAGATGTATCCTCTCTGGAAATCTGTTGGTACTTTCCTGTCTTCTTACCCCTTGCCAACCTTCATAATACACCTTCAATTTCTGCCAGGTCCCTCTGAAACTGTGGTGATGCCTCCTGGCACTTCCAAATATATCCATCTTGAACAGCGTAACAGCTGCATACTGACCATTTCCAATTTTTTCAACTTCTGTTCCCTTAAAAAAGGACAACTTAAGTTGCTCTGTGAATGTCAACAATTTCAAACAAAAATAAGGCACTGGACTGAGTTTGAGAGCCATTCCTTTTGCTTTATGCTCTGTAACAAATTTCTATCAGGCATGCATGAGAAAATGTTACCATATAATCCTATGATGATACTGATAAATACTCTTCTAAGAAAGGTCTGATAGGTTCCATTAGAGGCATCATGTTCAGTTCTAGAAGTGATTGCATCTCAGCTGTTGTGTGCACCCATACCTACAAAAACAGTTTACACACACTCATCCAGACTCCATGCAGTGAATGATGATATACCAACAAAATCAGCTAACATTAATTAATATTACTGCTTTCATTCTTGGAATCATTCTGTTATTTCCACTTTTGAACTATTTTTTGTTAGAATCTATCCTCTTTAATCTAGTTAAAAGGCTTCTTTTGGTATGATGTACTTAGTAAAACTTGTGCTATTGATACAGATCACCACTAAAGTGAAAGACAATTGCATAAAACAATATTTAGGATCACAGTCTTCATCTTAAAAATCTGTGTAAGAGTGCAAGTAGTGATAACATAAGCAGACACCAGACTTCTGCTAACACTGCAAAAGAGAGAACTCAGGGGAAAGCTAAAGTAGGAGCTCTATTTACAAAACAGCAGATGCAACACTTTGGCTGCAGTTCAAGTACTCTTGCACTCTTCTGATTTAAGCATGCTTTGTAGGAATGCATGTTTGAGACATGCCTTTTGTTCTTTCCATTGAAATAAAGCTTATTTAGCAGTCACCTTTCCTTTTTCTGCCGGCCTACTACTATTCTAAAGTAAACAGTGTGCCAGAATATCAGCTGGTACATATCAGTGTAGCTTGATTGAGTTCATTTGCACCAGCTGAGCAGCTGAGGTTAAAAAACAGATTTAGAAACAATTTTTGAGGAATCATCAAATCAGAATTAAATGGTTGCATTATGTTGCTATAACAACATAACCAGGACAATATAAACATTAATGTTTTTAATTTATCCTTAAGGTGTTAAATCAAACATCCAGACTTGAAATTCAGCTACTGGAAAACTCATTGTCAACGTACAAGCTAGAAAAACAGCTGCTACAACAGACACACGAAATCCTGAAAATTCATGAGAAAAACAGGTAAGAATGAGTAGTTGGTCTCTTACACTCTTCCTCTGTTCATCACAAAGTGGTCTGTGCATACTTTGTTCTAAGCAACTGATGAAATGGAAGAAGTAAATATGGTAAGTGGAAAGTATAGGCAATATTTATGAAATGGCTAAAAGAGCTAGGGTGTGAACTTACACTGTGTTAGCTCCTGTATGATAAATGAAAGTTGATTTTTACCACTTTTCATATGCACTGTAAGTTTAAATCTCAGTTTGCTTCATGACAACTTAGTTATATGACCAGAGTTCCTGCTACTGAAAAGCATAAGAATAACTTGTATGAGCACTTTCAAGTAGAAAAATATTAATAATAAATTATGAGATTATCAACTACCTTAAAGTACATAAAAACCAGAAAATCTTCAGTAGTTCATCTTTCTAATTTTAACGGATACAAAGATCTAACATGTAGAAGGATCTCTCTCTACCTTTGGACTCAATTATATATAACATACTTGGAGCCATGATCCATTTAAAGAATAAGTGAATAATGAACATTTGGGGTTTATGTTGAAATGGAACAAAAAACTGTTTAGCAGCACATAACTTCTTAAGCAGTGAAGTGAGAGTCAAGGATAACTTCCAGTGTTGTCCCTTTCTGTGCTCTCTCTCACAGAGAGAGGTGCTTCTGTGACACAGGGACTCAGTACCTGAAGTCACTGGATTTAGCAATCCAGTATCTCAGAGAGCACGTGTGGTGGGTTGACCTTGTCTGGCTGCCAGATGCCCACCCAGCCGCTCTCTCACTCCTCCTCATCAACAGGACAGAGGAAGAAAACCTTGTGGTTGAGATAAAGACAGGGAGATCACTTACCAGTTACTGTCATGGGCAAAACAGCCTTATTTATTGCCAATTAATAACAGTGTAGGATAGTGAGAAATAAAAATAAAACCAAAAAGACGTTTCCTCCCTACCTCCCCTTCTTCCCAGGCTCAGCGTCACTCCTGACTCTTCTACCTTCCCCCCCTGAGCAGTGCAGCGGGATGAGGAATGGGGGTTGTGGTCACTTCATAACGCTCTGCAATCCTTCCGGATAAGATTGCTCCAACGTGGGCTCTCCACAGGCTGCAGTTTCCTTCTGGACATCTCCACCTGCTCCAGCGTGGGGCCCTCCATGGGAAATACCTGCTCCACCATGGTCTCTTCCACGGGCTGCAGGGTAGCCTCTGCTCCAATGCCTCCTCCCCTCCTTCTTCTCTGACCTTGGTGTCGGCGGCATCGTTTCTCTCACTTTTTTCCCTCACTCCTCACACTGTCATGTGGCGTTTTTACCCTTTCTTAAATATGTTATCACAGAGGCACCACCACCTTGGTTGATGGGCTCAGTTGTGCCCTGCAGTGGGTCTGTTGGAGCCAACAGGAACCGGCTGGAACCGGCTGTGTCCGGCCCGGGGCAGCCCCAGCCTCTACTCACAGATGCTGTCCTGCAGCCCCCAAGCTGCCCAAATCTGGGCATCTGCACTCGATACAGTGGGTAAAGCCATTTTCCTTCTTGGCTGCCCTTCAGGAGACCTAAGGCTCATATTCCTGCCTCTGTAATGGCCAGGTTTAAGCAGGGAGGACAGAGAGTGCTTTCACTCCGCAGGTTCACTCTTGGCTCCGTTCTAGAAAGAGCAACTGTGAGATAAGTCTGACTAGGACTAAGGTTTCTATTTACTGTACCTACATTTGACACTGAAATAAGGCAAACACCTTTAAAAGTGAGGGAGCTACTGAAGGGTCCTGTACAAGCTTTAGTGGACTGTTTAAATTGAGATCAGACAGTTTGCCAAAAAAGGCAGCGTGATTCCGGTGCTGCTGGACAGAAAACAGCAACGGAGGCGGAAAGGCCTTGCCCAGGGTTAGGAAGACTAACACCACAATAAGCAAGGAGCTACTGGGAAAAGAAGGCAAAGAACCAGATAATGATGAAAAATAGAAAATGTTGTTACAAAGAAATGTATTTGCTAAATGTGTCTAGTTGCGAAGTTGGTCAAATAATATACCATTATTGCTACTGGTTATGAAAACCAGTATATTTAATGTATTTAATATAAAACCATATATTTAATGTATTTAATATAAAAACTGTTTATAACCAGTAATTCCAGCAAATGTTATTCTGGAGAAGTTGGATCACATTGAAAACTCTTGCACTCCACAGATTTCCCTTGACCAATTGGAAATATGGATAAATTAGTGTGGGATTAACTTTGACTTCAGCCATCTCAAAATTAAGTAATTTACCTAAACTGTGTATGTGGGCTCTCCCTGCAGTCCACGGAGAGAGTAGGCATGTGCAGGAGGCAGTTCATTCTACATATTTTACAAACCTATTTCAATTTGGGATTAACCCAAGCATTAGTTAAGTATATAAATACTTGCATTTTTATCTGTTGCAATCTGGTTAGCAACAAAAATTTATTGGCTGCTCAAGAGACTGAGTCTTGTGTACTTAATAATCTGAATTTATTTATTTATCTTAGCAATGTGTCAGGGTGTAAAGCCTTCATGTCAGTAAACAAATAAGTTTTACTTAAGTTCACCTTTGACTTGGCTGACATTATAATGAAATGGTCTGTGGCATGACAAAATGGTCTGCCTCGGTTTTTCGGAAGAAAAGGAGGGGTGTGTTAAAAAGCACATTTTATACCCAATTGTTTCTCTCAGAGGTATAATTGTATGTGGATAAATGAAAAAGCACATGGAGTTTCATCTTGTAATGAAACAAGAACCTGGCATACACTGTCCACATTCTGTTACTCTCTCCTTGGAAGTGATAAAATTAGGGATAGGGCAGTGTTATAATTACACTAAAATGTGGATCATCAGCTCCTGTATCATCATCTACCCCTAACAAAGAACTGCGTAATCTTGGCCTTGTAGGTCCTGATCCTGAAATCAATTATGTGTGTGTCAGGTTCACTATGGGACAAATCTTGGTGATCTCAGCAGATACTAGGTTTCTGGACATGCCAATGATTTTAGCTTGCTTAACTTTAAACAGTACTTATATAGATTACCCATTAGGCTATGTTCAGTAGTTGTTTGCACTCAAAATACCTTCATCCCTCTCTGTATCACTTTCACATCAATAAAACAGAGAAAACTCTTTTTATCTGCATTGCCTACGTGGACTGTAAGTTTTTTTGGAAAGGGTCTTTCTTTTGCAGTAGGTGTACACCACAGTGGGAACGAGTGTAGGAACTATTATCATCACAAAAATAATCAAAACAGATGGTGTACTGGGGGCAGATCATTTCTTTCTCTGTGCTAAAATTTCCTCTAAATAAAATAAAAATAATGATCTTAATCACTGTGCTGGTTTTGGCTGGGATAGAGTTAATTTTCTTCATAGTAGCTAGTATGAGGCTATGGTTTGGATTTGTGCTGAAAACAGTGTTGATAACACAGGGATGTTTTCGTTATTGCTGAGCAGTGCTCACACAGTGTCAAGGCCTTTCCTGCTTCTCACACCACCCCACCAGCGAGTAGGCTGGGGGTGCACGAGAAGCTGGGAGGGGACACAGCTGGGACAGCTGATCCCAACTGGCCAAAGGGATATTCCATACCATGTGATGTCATGCTCAGAATATAAAGCTGGGGGAAGAAGGAAGGGAGGGACTTTTGGAGTGATGGTGTTTGTCTTCCCAAGTAGCCGTTAATGTGTGATGGAGCCCTGTTTTTCTGGCGATGGCTGAACACCTGCCTGCCAATGGGAAGGAGTGAATGAATTCCTTGTCTTGCTTTACCTGTTAAACTGTCTTTATCTCAACCCATGAGTTTTCTCACTTTTACCCTTCCAATTCTCTCCGCCATCCCACCTGGGGGGGAGTAAGTGAGCAGCTGTGTGGTGCTTAGTTGCTGGCTGGGGTTAAACCATGACAATGGCTTTCAAAGAACTTGATTTCAGATGATAGTAATGCAAAATCTTATAGTAATAATCACCGATCATTGTTGTACTACATTAACTTGTATATTATCCTTAAATAAAATGAACACAACATATCAACAGGGGACCAATGCATGTTCCTTAGACTAGAAATATATCTATTCTTGGCCTTTCTCTTTACTTCCTGCCTCTGCTGGAAAGAGTGGCCAATTTTTTTCTTTTTATCTCACTGAATTGAAAGATATTCCATGGCATAAGTAGACTCACATTTGCCCCAGAATCATGTTTCTATTGAGTGCTCTCGTGCCATAAATAATTTAGTTTTGTGGGTTCCCACCCACTATAATGTAATGGTGGTTTCTTCCATTGCCATTTTTTCTCCCACAAGAGCTTTCTGAAAACTGTTTTGATTTATTCTTGAAAGATTTCCCTGCTTAAGTGCCTTTATGAGCCCCCTTTTTCTTTTTTCCAGTGTACCAGCTGCATTTAACTTATTGTGTGCCATTTGTTTCAATATGCAAGTGTGAAAACCACTTTTTATTTACTCAAATGAAACAAATGAGGAAAAATATAATGGAATTCTAGATCTTCCAGCTATAAATAGTGGAATCGAAATTTAAACATAAAATTCAGTTTGAATTTGCAGACAATCAAACTAGATTAACACGTTCAGTACAAGAACTGTTGTTGTACAGTTGTACAGAACTATGAAAGGCAAGGGCTCAAGAATGATTCCTGAATTTCCATCTGTGTGAAAGATGAAGAAACATAATATGCCTATTTGCAGGTTTTGCATATACTAAAAAGATAAATCCAGATTTTTCACTTCACTTTTGTGTTTTCAATGGAATTATCTTGTCACTGGTATAAAAAAATAAGCTTACTGATGCTAAGTGACCAATTACTTTACTGGTCTTAAGCAATTACTTTACTGGTCTTAAGCAATATGGGGACACATATTTTTATATTTCCTTAAACTGATCAGACAATATCAGACCACCAAGGTAAGTATGAGTGATCAGCACCTAATAATACAGGGAAAATTTAACTCACATAAAAACAAGTACAAAGAAGCTGTCTCAATGAGAAAATACTGTTC